GCAATATACAAGAATATCCATCGCTATATTAACATATGGGGGTTTTGCATATTTTTATAGAGATTTAAATATTTCAGAAAAATCAGAATAAAATTTGGGATGGAGGAACAAAAAAATCCCAACCCATAATAAAATCCAAGCAAACCAAACCATAAATCTCTATCCCTATTATCAGACAACGATTTTCATGTCCTGATTACTGACGCTACAGACATGCTGTGCTACAAATGCAACTAATTTACAAAATAACACAAAGTCCACAATAACCCCAAACTTTTAACTACATATTATCATTAAAAAAAAAAATCCCATTACCTTCAAAAATGTTTATTTTTGTGTCATCTTTGCTACAGGCTACACTCAAAGGCAAACAAGCCACATAACATCCTGGGGCAGAAACTTTTTATTAGCAAATTTTTCTCCTCATCAGTGGGTCACCTGGACACTTAATGAGTCATTCTTACATGTGGTTCATCTTTTTTCTAATCCCTGATTTGAGGGAAAAGGAATAAATACGTTACAGCTGCCCAGAAGCAAATTTTCTAGGGAGGGGAGAGAGAAGCCAGGTTGTCTCCAAGGTCTAACCCACAGCTGTATTTTAGCCTCACTGTGATACTGCCAGTTCTCATCCACTCTGGCTGGCATATTTCTGTCCATACACCACTTGTAAAAACAGTCTTTTCTGTTGAAACTTGATTAGAAAATTATTGGGGGAAGGTGCATTATAAATAAAATATATTTTTAATTGTGTGTGAGGGGGGAAACTGTGTATTGCTTTATGAGTATTCTCAGCAGAGAGAGTTATGCTTCATTCACATCATGTCTGAGCCCCACCAAGTGATGTGATTGGGGCTGTTCCTAAGATTTTGGCTTCTGTCTCTTATTCTGGTAGCTCTCTGCCCCAGATGGGGCTCAAGGTTTACTGTGGCAACAGAGAGGTTCTAGTGCCATGGGACCTTGGCTAGTTCACTTGCACAAAAATCTTATCTAATTCAAATTAATATTTTTGAGCACCTTTTAAAAAATGAGTCCACACTCTCTGCTCATGCTCTTTCTGTTTGTTTTCTGGTGTTTAAAATAGGTTCCAACCAGCAACATAGAAGAGCCATAGGTGTGAATGGTATTTCAGCCACAGAATATGACTATTAAACAAGCAGGTCCTCAACCCAAGCTCTGACAAAACATTTGTACAGCAAAACTGGCACTGACAGCTAAGCCTTTGGCTCTGCATGGTGGGTCAGAGCCAAAAGACTTTGGAGAGCCTGTAGTGTGGTATAGTATACTTCACATTTGCTAGTAGCCATGGTTAATAATTGTGCTAGTAGCTATAGTTACCACACATATGGGGACAATTACGAGATTTTGAAGCTTGGTTGAGTGAGACTTTGAAGTGTGGTCAAGATGACCTTACCTAGCGATAAGAAATTCATAAAAGATAGATTTTGATTTCCAAGCCCTAGAAAATAAGTAGAACACACAGAACCATAAAGAGAGCTTCTGGGATTGTGTTGAGAATGAGTTGACAACCCAACAAAGTGACTATTTGATTAATTACCTTGGTGATGAAACTAATTTCTGAGTGTCCTGAAAATGAACTACCTTCATTATAATACTAAAAAACACACCCACAGGTCAAAAAGATCCCCTGCCCATGTTATGACCCTTTCTCTGAGCATGACTACTAGTGGGATCATTATGTAAGCCATATAATAATTGTATGTTAATCACTAACCAATCAGTATCTAATAGGAATGTTCAGAAAAGTACTAACCTCTGATTTTTGTGTATAAAAGAAGCATGAAAACTGATGTTGGTGTGCTTGATTTGTGGAAAAGTCCACTGAGCACCCAAGCCTGAGTAAATACAGTATCTCTCCTGAGTGTGTTAAGATTTGTTTATTGTATGCTGGGCACAAATCCAGTTTTCGGATAACACCTGCAGAAGACTCCAAAACTGTGGTCTCAAAAAACTTTAGCTCACATGCTGCCCTGATGGAAGGCTCCATAGCCTTTTATTTTCTGATTTAAATTTCTTGTGTCATCTGTATTTGTGGCTCCATCTATCACTCAGCCATCCATATTTCCGATAAGGATGAGCATTTAGTCCAAGCTAGGTTGGGCTCAGTCTTCCTCCACCTCAGGGCCCTGGGGGATGAGTACTGGGCACCCTCCACATGTCCAAATATTCACCATAAGGACTGATGTCCTCTCAAAGAGCAGCTATCCATTTCTTTTTAACTCAGAGGCAGATAAGTTGGTTGTGCCTTCCCTTCAGTAAACCAGACTTAGCACAAAGTAAATGCCCCAGCATGCTTCAGGATACATGGGCGTTAATGGGATGTCTGTGATGTTATAACAGGGCTTCTGAATTTCCATTTCAGGCCCTTGGTGGAGCAGAGAACAGTTGTTTCTCCACATGCCTGGAACAAACACACTCTTAAGGCCTGCTTGCGGCGGGCGGAGGAATCAAGCAGCCGATTCAATGTGAATGATAGAGCAAGCTTCAACTTTATTGATAGAAATCACACCTTATATAAGCAGTCTACAATACACTACTTGTAACTCTATTGGATACATTAAAGAAACTACATTATAATATCTCAGCCATTGGGTACATCTAAAAAGTCACATTATAATACACCAGCCCCTTGTGGCATTTCTGGTATGCATAAACATCTTTCTTGCTGTGAACCTGATTCTCTCCCAGGGCTGCTTTCCTCTGACCCCCAAGGTCATAATGCGCCCCAACTTATCTCTGTGTTCTCACAACAGTCCTCACTAGCACAACTGAGCCCTGGATCTCCATCCTTGTTTACATAACTGTACCCTGGGTTCTTTCCTTTGTTTACCTCAGGTGGCTGGGACCGACTTCTGCAGGGAGCTATGGCCGACCAGCTCCTGCAGGGAGCCATGGCCTTGCTCTCTGCAAGCCGTTCTCCAGCACCTGCTGGCAGGTTGTGTGTGGGTGCTTTTCTGGGCACTTAGGGCTGGGGTCTCCCTTTCTGTGTGAGTATGCTGACCATCAGTCTAGAACATAAAAGGAGGGGGAAGTGGAAACAAGCCTTCTCCTCCTCTGTGTCTTTGAGAAAAAAGTGCAAGATCTGCTCAATTCTTTGAAAGGGCAGAGCTGTCCATTTTTAGGGAATGGGGTTGTGATCCCAGATAGAGTGGGGTCACCACACTCAGCCACTCCTCAGTGTTTGCTGAGTGATGCTTCAATACAGACTCAAAAATAAAGGTAACTACTGAGACACAAATTTCTTGTAATGGTAATTGGCTATGACCCAATCCTAACCATACTTGAAGTACTGACAGTTAGATCTGATAAGAATAGATAACATAGGTTTGATTGGGATTTTTACTTTATAACAGAACATGGGAAAAAAAAAAGTGAGGAGAGAAGCGAGTGCAGAAATAAAGCAGGATATGAAATGCAGAGGGATAAAACGAGGCTCAGTGAAGTGGAAAGAGAAAAGTTACAGAGAAAAACTAAGGTGGAGGAGAGCCCAAAAATTCACCAACAGTAGTTGAATGCTCCTAGGGAAGTGTTCCTATGGCTGACAATTTCTTTGGGGTGTTTCTATGACAGTGCCCAGCTTAGTTTATGTGTTAAGGTTTACGGTAGCTCCAGGATGCTGGCTGGGGAGTGTGAGGAGCTGAGTCCATGCCCAGCTCAGCACGCTGCCTGGTTGGGATCCCGTATCTCATGCCCATGCTGCTTCCCCTGTGTGCCCTACAGAGCCACACCATCCAAAAAGGACAAGCCACCTGGGGCTGGGCAGGAGGAGAGGGGCTCATAGCTCTGCTGACACACTGCAAGGGTGCGGTGAACTCATTTTAGCAGGGTTGACTCACAGAAAATATGCTTCTCTTCCTGCCTGATTGCTTCACCAGTGAGAAAGGAGTGCTGGAAAGTGCTAGGAAGTAGTTCACTGCTTCTTTTTAACTTCCGAAATAAGAGTTTCAGAATATGTCACATATTTCTCAATCTCATACCAAATTCTTTGTTTTGCTCTCCACTGCATAGCTCTTTTCCAGGGTGCGTTTAGCAGGTTACTTTTAGAGGCTGTGATTTTGCATCCTTCGCTCTGCTGCTGAAACAATGATGAAAGGGGCAAGGCAAGAGCAGAGCTGCACAGCCAGCCTGGCTGAGCTCCGATGGTGAGGGCATAGCATGGATGGGAATGAGGAAAGGTTTCTTACAAGGCTGTGCCAACCTGGAAGCCAGACAGAAATTCCTCTGTCCTCCTTATATCCTGCATCGTTTCTGAGCTGATGCTGGTTTGAGGGGTATGAGCTGAGGACAGGCCATCCCTCCAGCAGAACGGGACTTGTGTTAAAACGCTGCTGAGATGGGCTTTGGGCAGGGGCACAGCTCCCACACAGCCCCGCCGGGGCCGTGCAGCCTCATGATTTACATGACCAAGCTTTGTACGAAACCCCTCCAGAAGCCCTCGAGGGGTGGCACGCAGGGACGGCTGCTTGCAGGCCTGGGGACCAGCGGGTGCCCCCACCAGGGCCGCTGGAGCTGCCCGTCAACCCCGGGCTGCTCCATGAGGCACCCACCGCCGCCTTCCACCTGCGGAATAAAGACGAGGAGCAGCGAGGTCCCTCGCTGGCACAGGCAGGGAAAAAGTTTCTAAATCCCGCTGCCCTTCCCGGTGTGCACGCCGGGGCTCCCCGCCCGGGAGATGATGCGGGATCCCCGTTAGGAGCTGGGCTCGGACCTTTTAAAATCCGGCACTGTGGCGGCTATGGGAAATGCTGACGGCAAGGGTAAAGGAGAGGGCAAAACCCCACAGCCGGAGTGGAAACTCGCGAACTCATCCAGCCGGCGCGCCCCGGCCCCGCTGCTGTCTGTGCACTTCAACTTTCTGGCGCCATCCAGATAGTTACCATTTTAGCTGTGTGCTGTGTCTCTGGGAAAACCTTGCTGTGTTAAGTTCTGGAAGTGGTAAAGTTCACCTTGAATGCACATTATCCGTTCCTTGTTCTGTTCTAGGACCCAAATAAAGACACAGAGTGGAATGACATCCTGCGCAAGAAAGGTATCCTTCCTCCAAAGGAAAACTTGGAGGAACAGGAGCGTGCAAAGGAGGAGGAGCAGCTTGCCATCCTTCAGAAGTCTCTTGGTGAGTGACCAGCCAACTTGGGCAGCAGCAGCAGGACAAGTCTTGGAATGGCTCATGGGGAAGCTTGTACAAAGAAATGGCCAAAAGCAATGTTTATACGCCTGTAAAGCAACATGTCCTTCTCCAAGTCTGTAAGGGATACCAATGCTTCTGACATAGGGTGATCATCTGTTAACAGTATCATACGAGCACATTCTTGAACACATGGATTCTTCCAGCACAGGAAAGCTTTCTCGATGTGAACTCCATATTCTTACAGAAGTAAATGTTTGAAAACTGAAATAAGAACAGTGCAAAGGGAGTCTACCATGTGAATGTGCAAGTAAAAGTATCTCATGACATTACCTGTTGTATGCTTCCTTCTTCCTTAGTAGTTCAGGCATACCTGCTGATTTGTGTGTGTATTAAGTATGTTTTTGCTGCAGCCACCAAACTTGAAAGTGCAGATACTCGTGCTAGTCTAGACACCCTTCAGCTCAGAGTACTTTACATGATCTTTCCATCTATGGGTCTAAAGTACATAATACTTTCTAAAAATCAATTAATAATAATACTTAAGCCGTATTTCCCATAATTAATCTGACTTTAATGTAAATAAATTGTTGGATTGATAAAAGCTGATGTTTTAATCTTGGAATGAGTTTGTTTTTTTTTCTGATATGATGTTTCTTCTAGTGAAAACTTACGAGGACATGACTCTGGAAGAGCTAGAAGAGAATGAAGATGAATTTAATGAGGAAGATGAGAAAGCTATTGAAATGTACAGGTTAGAGCAGCATGCAGAATTTAATTTTAATGAAAATTTGAGGTTTTATTTTCTTTTTTATGCTGTTTGATATTGTTGAAGAGAGGAATGATTTTGTTAGGCCTGATGATAGAAAAAGTGGGTTGTGCTTCTGGTCTCTTGTAGAGCTTCTAAGTGCCTTTAATAAGATAACTGGGTTTAAATTCAGTGTCCTTTTATCTACATCCTAGTTTTGCAGAGATAATATGCACCTGCTGAGTGCATGGCTGGGGATTCTGTAAGCTTTGAAATTCACCTCCAAGATTTCTCAAGTTTTTGCCTTGCAAATTTACAAAATTGCGGTGATGGTTTTCCATTATCTTTCTATTTCTACCATCTATCATGGTTTTTGCTACTTAGTTTGGTAGTGTAGTATCCGCGGAAGAAATGTCTGCTGAGGTCAGAAATGAGGAAGAATGCATGAAAGATAGTTGTATTTGCATGTTGGCATCTGATGCAAATATAAAAGCATCTACTGGCTATATCAGCTTGCTTTTGCTGCTCTGGGGTTTAAGAATTTTGTAATGTGCCTCTGAAATTTAGGTTTCAACCAGCTTCTTTAAGTGATGTTCTGTTAAAAAAGCATCTATTCTCAAGATCTCTTTCCCATTCTTTGCTGTTCAGGCAGCAAAGGTTAGCAGAAATGAAAGCAGCTCAAATGAAGAATAAATTTGGAGAAGTTTTGGAGATTTCAGGGAAAGATTACATTCAAGAGGTAACGAAAGCTGGAAAAGGAATATGGGTAGTTCTGCACCTCTACAGACAAGGGTAAGAATTTGTTTTTTTAAACCTTCACTGTCACTACCTGAAAATACTCTAGACAAATGTATAGTTATTGTGGAAATTAAGGAACTGATTCTGGAGTTCTAAGAAAGAAAAAATTGAATTAGTAATTTCACTACTGTTGACTCAAGACTGCTGAACTTAGCTCTAAAAGGATGTTACCTGAAGCAGCTTTTTTATACATCTGTACAGCACAGCGTGACTAGTATTATACAGCTACCACAGAGGTAGCTGCTGCCACTGAAATATCCAAGCTTTGGAAATTATTCTGGCTAAAGTGCAAGGGACTGTGCATTAGAAAGATCACTATGTGATCCTTGTTTCTAGAGGCAAAAATGGAGCGAACAGGATTTTCAGTCCTGTCAGCATGATGGAAAAACTTGTTAAAAAGGTCTAAGTTGCTAGAATTTTCTGGAAAGGGTTAGAAATACTTGATTCTGTTCATTGTCTCTAATTGCCTTACAGGTGTTTTCATTGTCATTTGCATCATTTTTTTCCAGGAACTGCTTTTCTCTTTACTTTGTCCTTGCTCATGTGTTTCCTAAATATCATATTTTCATAAACCCATTTCTCTGTATGATAGAGGGGAAGACTCTTAATATCTTAAAACAAAAAACCCATCCACCAAAACCTCCACTGATGCTGTTTTCCTTTGAATGCTGGAATACTGGACAGCAAAAGTATTCAGAAGTTGCTTCTGGTACACTTGTCTTTCCATAAATGCTCCTCATCAAGTTGATATTTCTGGCCTTTCTTCTGGAGCAGATTACTGTCTAATTTGTATTCTGTTTTCTCCTTATGTGTGCCTGTTGGTGTACTTCACAGAATTCCACTCTGTGCCTTAATAAATCAACATATGAGCGGGCTTGCAAAAAAGTTCAGAGATGTGAAATTCATCAAAGCCATCTCTACGACCTGCATTCCCAACTACCCTGATAAGAACCTGCCTACAATATTTGTTTACCTGGAGGGAGACATCAAAGCTCAGTTCATTGGGCCTTTGGTGTTCGGTGGTATGAACCTGACAAGGGATGGTGAGTGTCTTCATTTTCAGTCTTCCAAAGGAAAAGCAAAACTGCTTTACTGGGAATGAGAGAAGTGAGGATTAGGAAGAGAGGGAGGTACTAAAAATCATATTAAATTGATGGTGGGATTTTTTGGGGGTTTTGGTTTGGGTTTTTTTGCACCCTTATGGCTCAACAATATGTGATTAAGGCTATCTTGTAAAAGCCATGAGTGACTGACTAGACCAACATATAGATGTTTATCTTACGTGTGCGCAAATATTCACACCCTCTGTTGGGTGAAACAAATCTTCCTGAAGATGTTAAAGGGTTAAATAGTACCCATGCACATTCTTTGGGGCTTTTGTACCTGAGCAACTGACCTTGCCCCCAGTTACTTGGTAATCTGTGCAGTTGATAACTGGTGCTTGCCTTGCATTGTAGGGCTTGTTTCATTTTCAGGCTGATGGCACGTTATTTGTCTGTTGTACCTTCCTGACGTCCAGACTCTGCTCCTTATGAACCTTTAAAGGCAGTCTCTCTTTATCCACATGGGACTGCTAGCCTGAAATTGGGCTGCTTTCTTTTCCTCTTGCCATCTCCTGGAGATGGTAGCATGTTAAGCTGCTGTCTCAGTGGTTCAGGGGGCACAGAGCTCCATGGGGAGAGGCTGTTACCTTTCCTGAAGGTCGTGGTTTCCCTAGACCTGTTTCTCCTTGCCCATTGCAGCAGCCTGGAGGCAGGCTGGGTGGTGCAGCCTTGTCAACATGATGTGATTCAGGAAGTTTGAGGGTGGTGATGCAGGTCTCATGGAGCACTGTGGCTCTTCAGTAAAAGCTGCAATTTGCAGGTGTTTGGTTGGGGATGGTATTCTACAGCAGTGCTTGAAGACAGAGGTCAGTGAAAAAGGCTCTTCTTGGAAAGGAAATGCAACTCAGATGTAACCTAGTGGATTTTACTTCAGTTAAAAGGATACTTATCAGCTTTCTGAGTAGGCATATTGGTCCAGATGCCTTCAAACTTTTTTAAGGTCGGGCTTTAAGGGCATCTTTATCTGAAGTGAACCACAGTTAAGCAGCAGTTCAGGGTCCTTGCTGAATGATATCACTGCCTGTGCTGCGATAGAATGCAAAGGGTATTTTTACTAAAACCATGAAGGTTACAGGATACCTTGAGCATATGCTGTAGAAAAGGCTTCCCTGCTTTGAACTCTCAGAAGGGGAAAGGCTCACCAATGAGATGACCAATTTGAGAACAGCTAACTAACTACAGATGTTGCCTAATTATACAGCTAGCTTTCTCCCATTTTTAGTATAAATAAATAATTGACTTTGTGAGGGTCCAAAGGTGACAGAGCCAGCTTAATTCACTCATCGCAGAAACCTGGGCACTGAAATTCTGCACTTTTATTTCTTCTTTCCTTTTGCTGTAAGCCCAGATGACTTCCACTAGAGATTAAAGAAAGTGTGAGGTTGTATTCATTACTCGATAATGTCTGAAGAAAATTAGATTTAATGTTAGGGTTGCCAACAGAACTTAAGGGGAAGGTTTCAACTGAATGTGTTGTACTGACTTTCTACCACTTCTGGAAAGCAATCCAGTTTGGGCCTATATAGAAATAGGCCTTCTACTGATGATGCAGTCTTCTTACTGTCTTGCTAAGGAACTAATAATCAGTGCAGGGCATAGTGGGAAAGGGTGAATTGCGTTTACAGAGTACATTCCTGAAAAATACCTATAATTCATATGTGTAAACGGAATTGCTACAGTTTTTTTGCTCCTCAGCAAATATATTCCCTGCCTCTTCTGATTGTGATGAACTCAGCTGTTTCCATCGTCATATACACTGTAATATATGAGCAGTATTCCTTCACTGGCAACAGATGTGAAAACCTGTCTTCTGCCCTTATGTGGTTAGAAGGAGGTGGAATTCACTTTCACTGGGAGAGTTACCTCTAAAATGCTGCTCTGTATTAATCTCTTTTGCACTCCTGGTTGTAAAGGGAGCAGGGAGACACTGGGGATGCCCACTGGTGGGCTGCAGAGCAGTACCCTGAGCTCTGCTTCCTGGGCTGAAACCTGTGTCAGCACTAGCAACTGTGAAGGGAGGGCTCAGCTGGAGAGGGTGCAGGAGACAGGGCAGGGGCTGGGACCTAGGGGTGTGAGAGGAGAGGGAGGAATAGAGCAGGGCCCTGGTTTTGGTGGTGGTGATGGCAGGGTGGTAAGAGCAGTCAGCTGGGGAAGCAGGGGTGGTCTTTTTCCAGTTTGCTCCTCTGCATTCATGGCTCTCTTGTTTTGCTCTGCACAGAACTGGAGTGGAAGATTTCAGAGTCTGGTGCCATCAAGACAGACCTTGAGGAGAACCCCAGGAAGCAGATCCAGGACCAGCTCATGTCCTCAGTCAGGGCATGTGTCCCAGCCAGGGGGGAGAGTGACTCAGAGGATGACTAACTCCTGTGACTGCATCAAGATTGATATAGTACACTTGCAGCCAGTGTTCCCATCTAGAGCACTGAAGATGCTCGTCAAGATCTTGCTGAGCCACAGAAGTATAGTATTTCAAGACATCCATTTATCTAGAAACTAAAAAAGTTTCTTTTTAAAAAAAAACTTATTGCAGCTTCACTTAAGATCCTGAAAGACATTTTATGTTATGAAGCCTGAGTAAATATTACTCAAAGTTTTAAAATATAGACATCAGTAGAAACAGAGGTCTCTTGTTATTATTTTCTTAGTAAATTGCTGACTTCTTTAAAAAAATCTAAAATATGAAGTGGCCTTAAGTGCACTCTCTTTGACAAGCCTAACTTATGTAAATCAAATCTAAATAGCTGGTCTTAAACAGTTGGTTATAGCATTGGGCCTTTTCTTAGCCCATAGAGCATAGATATCTGTCAGTCTGGACTGTGTGGAAAGACCATGATGTGGGTGGCATGTGGTCCTTTGTAGAGGCATGTTGGCATGGGGAGCCAGCATGAGGCTGTGAACAGGGATTCCAGACATCTTGAGAGAGGCCTTGGTGACAGCCAGCATCTCCTGGGATCTGCTGAGTCTGGAACTCCCTTTCATTTAGCAACAGTATTTTGTCTTTCGCAGGGGCTGAGCTTCCTGCACCATCTTTTCTGCTAATTGGGAAAGAAAATTCAAGATGGTGGTGCTCAACTGTGAAACTGCTGATTTCTTCCACAAAATCACAAGTCTGATGTGTTACTACAGTAGTGCTATTGCCAAATGGAAGGGAAAATAATGTCTAAAGATCTGTTGTCTTTGTATATTAAAGCCTTCTATCTTCTAGGTGCAGTAATAATAATTGAGGCCTTAAGAGAGAATGAATGAAAATATCACCATAATTATAGATCTGCTGACACTTGGAGCTGCTTGCTTATTTTTGGGTTGAATTTAATGTCCACCTACACTTTCAATTTGTCTACACTTGGGCTAACAAGCTCCAAGAGCTTTTGCTAACAAGGCTGCCCCAAGGACATTTTGTTATATTATTGATGGGTTCTGTGGGTGGATGGTGCAGAATGCAACACTCAATAAGCAGCACTTTTTTTTTAGTTTTGTGTTAGTTCATAGCAACTTTTAAGCCTGTTTCCTGCACTGTCTCCTCAGTCAAATCAGTGTGTAGTTCAAACAAGTAACTGTTCCTTAAACTTAGGGTGAAGTTGTAAGATCCTGATGGAGACCTTCCTCTTTGAGATCTGAATGGTGATTTTAGTGTCACTTAAGTCTCCTTTCTTTTTTCTTTTGTGTTTTTTTGCAAAATAGCTAAAGCACTACCATTGTGTAAGTGAGCCAAATGCAGCCGAATACAAGCTGATAAATCCTGAATATTATTACTGGACATAGCACCACACCTCTCTTGACACTGGGTTATTCAAAATGCTGTCATCCCTTATGCATTTCTGTATATGCCTCCAACTTACAATCTAGGAAGGGGACAACTTTTTCTTCCCACAGAAGCCTGCACTGCTTATTTTGCTCATCTCTTGCTTGTCCTCATTTAACTGTGCTTTGGATGACCCTGAGCACATGGACTGGGTTCCTTTTGGAGGAAACTAGAGGAGCAGTCTCCGAAGGGAAAGTCAGTCCAAAGAGCTAGGCTAAAGCTAACCTGAAATAAGGCCCTCTGAAATGTGTGTAGAGTGGATGTCGCATCTTCAGCCTCTCCCTCCCAGATCTGCTGTGGTTAACCTGTCTTGATTGCTGATGCAGACACAGCTGCCATACTCTTCTCAACTTGTTTATAAAGTTTATGAAAATTCTAGGAATGGAAGGTGGAACCTGCAATCCATCTTGTATCGTTGCTGTGACAACTTCAATTTGAAATCTAATTTAAAAAGTAGGTAATGTTTTGGATACTTTTTAAACTTTTATTATTCCCTCTTTTATTGTCTCCCACTTCATTGCCTCTATGGAGGCAGAGAAGCAATAATGTTGCAGCTGCTCTTTCACTGTCTTCTAGACCATTGGTGATTCATGGACCACAGCAGGAGAGAAGCTCATAGTGGGATCACCACTGCATTTGGATGGAATTGCTGAGGGCTCTGTCCTGAAGGATCTTGAAAACATCTAGGGATGAAGACTTCTCAGATTGGAGCTTGACTAGCTCCAGGGCAGCCCTCTGTTCTTTGCATCTGGCACAGGGCAGCACAGGCAGCAAGACTCAGCCAGAATAACTACAGGCAGAGTTTGATCCAAAGCTTGTTGTTCAGTTGGGAGAACTGGTGTCTCAAAGACAGACAGACACCCTTAAGATACTAACTGTAGACCTGCTAGAGTGAATCAACAGAAAGCTGAAGGACAGAGTGCATCTTTTGACCAGGCCATACCAGCTTGCAAGGATCTTGGCTTCCAGTTTAGAATGTGTGACTTGGAACATCCCCCTTCTGGAATGAGCCCTCTATTCCAGCAACTCTACAAGTCTTCCTCAAAAGCTTCATGCTTGCTCCTATCCACACTGGCATAGTGATTCTTGTTCCCTATTCTGCAAAGTAAGCCATTTTAGATGGGATGGTGTCCCCTCACCAGGAGGGCTCGTGTCTGATGAATGAGGCACTGCCTTGGTGCAGGTTTGAGCCCCTCAGGCAGAAGTGAGAATTGAACTGAATTGCTTATGCCCTTGGCATGTGATGTGATAAACCCTTGGATAAATAAAAGGGAGAGGTTGGACTTCGGGCTGTTTCCATCACACTCTTCCAGCAGGGTCTTAAAAGAAAACCACAGCTGCCTTCCCCTTTTGTATGGAGTCTAATGGGTTTTCTGGGCTCTGGGACCACCAAGAGGACTGAGCTCTCAAACAGGACTAGGGCTGTGCATGGGCAGCTGGTTGCCCCAAGCTGCTCAGCTTCGGTGAGTCAGATACCTAGTGCCTGTGAATGACACTTGCAGCACCTCCAGGCAGTAGTTATGTCTTTTCTCTACAAAAAGTGAACCAGACATGCCTGGGACATTTACCCAGGAGACTAGATGGGGGAGGGTGAGGTTGCCTATTCTAGCCTGCTCCCTGCTGTCAGGATTACAGCAGGGCATGCCTTGCCATTTAATAGACAGCACTGAGCAACATATAACAACTCAAGAGAAATGGAGACGGTTTGAGTTGTACTATCTCATGTACAATGTACACTTAATGTATTGACATGTTTGGGGAAGCCATTTAAGGATGCCATGCTGAACGGGGCAGATGTGAGAATAATCACACACCAGAAGAGACTGAATGTTCTGCCCAGCTGCTGAGACCCATGCAGAGCATCATTTCAGCTGGTCTCTGTGCTTCTTGGTATTTGGCTAAGTCTGAAAACAACTTCTTGTAATCTTATTCTCTCTCTTGCCAATCATATTGCCCTGCTCAAGGCCTTTTGTAGAAATTAGGTCTCTGCAGGAAATGGATAATGAGGTCTGTTTAACCTTTCGGCAGAGCAGAAGCTATGGAAGCATACAGTTAAGGTGAATGAGCCTTAGCTTAAAAGGAAGCTGGTTGCAAAATAGTAAACTAAAACAGGCAATTAATACACATAGCAGAATGAGGCAATATAATGGGAGAAAATAATTGGAGACTGTGAACTCTCCTTTGCCAAGATTTGGGGCACTGCTGCTAAATGCACTGTCGGTATTTTTGCATCCTGTCAACAGTTAGTGTCAGATCAATGGTCGTTTCTCACCTGTGTGAGAACGGTCTTTCTGTCAGCTATCATGGGAGTAGTCAGAAGCAGCTAACCTGTAAACATTGCAGAGGCTTTTATGAGTTACTGTCCTGTGTACTGCTGTGAAAGCATCCCTGACTCATGCCATGCTGCAGTGGTGCCAGCAGGTGGGGTTGTAAAAAAAGTAACAACTGTGCCATAGACAGGGGCAGATAATTTGCCATTAGTGGACAGTCACTCTGGAATTTTTTGTGTGAACCGCTACTAATAAAAAGCATTTTCTCTGTGATACAGGTCTGAAGTCTACTGCTTACCCAGCTTATGTGAGCAGCCACATGAGGTTTGTGGCAGGCTGCCCTGATCTGAAAAGTCATCACTGATTTTCATTTACCCAGACCTCCTTGCATTCACAATCTGCATTTACCAAACCCTGCCAAACCTGGAGGGTGATGTTTTACATTCACTTCACATGCAGAGGGAGAGCCAGGCTTTGTGCAAGCAGGGCAAGGCCATGGAGGGGCAAGTTAAGCTGCCAGTTTTCCAAGTACTTAGTCTAACCATAGTCAGGGACCTGCACATAGGCAGAAGCACCTGCAGGACTTTGATTGCAGGAGGTGAAATAAAGGAGTGTCCTTTGAATACCCATGCTGTGCCATAACTGTTTTGGTCAGGTCCTCCTTTCCCAGAGCTCAACTTAGTCTCACCTGCCTCCTCTTTGGGTCTGGCCTATGACCTCCTTTCCCAAATACACTTAGGTGGATATTTGGTTGGCCTTACTGCCAGGAGTAGTTTAACTTAGGTGAGGTGATTTATTATGAGAAAGCTGGGTGCGTGTGCTTCCAGCTCTGCTGGGTCATGGTACAGAATAAACACATGATGTTAAGCCTTAAGTTAGCGTGACATCTGAATGCAGATATTTGTCTTTATAGAGTTCATGAAGAAAGTAGCTCTGATCTACAGCAATTCCCATGGAAGTTAAGGTGTACTTTTTATTCTCGTATTATAAACTCAAGTTCACAATAATTTGTGATTATTCTCTGGAAATCTGGGGAAGTTTCCAATTTTACAGGCTGTCTGTGTAGCAATGGGAAATGAGACTTCTAATGGAAACCTCAGTAACTTAGTTTGGACTAGCTCTTGTTTTGTGAAGGGGGTAGAATAAGCACCATGAACCTTTTGCTGAATTTTTCTTGGAATTGGATCATGTCTAAAGAAACTTTGCTCTCACTGAGATCAAAGAGGAATGCTTTCCCTTCTTCACTCTTTTAAATCACGACATTGCTGAAACTAATCTATTCCCTGTCAATTGTTTGGGAGGTAGTTGAACACATTTCTCATTACAGCCCATTATAAATCACTCCTCATTTCCACCTCATTTAGCTAATTCAGTCATCAAAGGATTGCAGGGGTCATAAAGTATTTTGTTGATGCATTTAGCTCTTCACAGAATTATAAAAAGTATTGAACTACTTAGGTCTATCTATTTGCAGATGGCTCTTGTAATGCAGGCAAAGGCTTCATTCCCTCCTGTGGAAGGCAGAAACATTAAAAAAGAAAATCCAAGCAGCGACTCTCTCTAGGCTTGTGTGGGAGATTGATGAACGATCTGACTTGTTTTCATATAACGTGTTAAAACTTTAATCTCTTGACACCATGCCGAATTTTTCAGGACTTTGCCAAATTAATTTTAATTTACAGAGCTGACTGAAGGGTTTGAGGTCTGATAAAAAATGGCAGGAAAAATATCAAGTAATTTTGAGGTTGTTTCTGTTTAACACTTCAAATGTTAAATAAGCAAGGAATTCTATGATCTAAGGCAGAACAGTCCATGTACCAGATGTTAATGGACAGTTAATGAGATGAATGTAATTATGCATATTTGTAAGCCTCTGGTTCAATATATCCAGTATAAGAAGTCATATTTCTTCCAGTATATTGAACAGCTTGAACTCAAAGATGCTTCTTGTGGAGGCAAAAGTTACAGCATTTACTAGCGAGAGCAAGTCTTGATTTCCCAGACAGCTGTTGCCTACCCCCAAAGTGACACTGACTCTTGCTACAGCATGTGTCATCCTGCTCCCACTCCCCTAAATATCCATGGGAATACTTTCATTCACAAGGAGGACAGCAGAGCCAGCTATTGAAATTTTCTTCTTGCCTGATTGCAGTTTACCCTTCTGTGAAATAGTCCAGACTGTTTGGGGGTGTTGGAAAACTTCATTAATTTTCTGCCCACATGCAGATCATTTCTGTTATGTAAAGATGAAAGTATGGATGTCCTGGATCCTTCAAGCTGACTATCACTTTCTGTGGGTTAGTTGTTGCTGGCCTCAAGTGATTAGAGGAACAATTGTGAGGGCCACCTCTATGGCAGCGGTAAACTAGCACTAGACCTTGCAAAGACTGATCCTGCTGCAGCACCAAGGCATTGACTATTTTCTTTAGCAAGAAAGTGCTGGTGGTAAAAGGGTGCAAAGTTCAGTAGGATGAATCAAAACCAGGAGAATATGCAACATGTGGAGTTAGGTTTCCCATTCTGGTAATGTCCCCAAAGTTCTTCAGCTGAGGTGTATTCCCTCTGATTACATTTAGCTAGCAAGTTTAATAGTGCTGACGAACAGGATTTGAACTGGATCCTGTGGGATGAGCCATGTCCAGATCAAAGGGCTGATCCTGGAAGTGCTTGAAGAAGTTTCTTTTCTTCCTTTTTCCTCTGAGAAGAGAGGGAGGGTAAGAGCCCTCGAGGTAGCGGAAGAGATGAAGGATAACAGGCACAGGCCAGTAAAAAGGGACTTGGAAGGCTTAAATAAGTCTGCCCATTTCTAGAGAAGGGTAGGGGTAAGGAAGATAATAAAAATTTGAGACCTCACATTATAATGAAGATTCAGGGATATTTGGTGTTGGGATACACTAGAAGTACTTTTCTTCTCAAAGGATAGGCCTCGTGTAGCTGGAGACTGTGCACTGAGGATAGCAGAGTGGATGAGAGCATTAAATCACAGGCCACAAGGAGAATTTTGGTGCAGTCCCACGAAAGCTTCATCCCTGATTTCAGTGTATAGGAAGAAAAAAGTCAGATAAACATGGATGCTCTGATCCACAGAGAAGTGTTAAGGTTGACTATAGATAAGTGCCACTATTAATGAGAGCAATAATTACGCAGGTTTTCAATAAGTAAAATCAATTGGCTAAAAAAATCATGTGTAATTCAAGACAGGAAAAGATACTGCTGTATTATTTGCATACTAATAATCTGTCTTTAGCATAAGCTCAGCAAAAGCTATGACTCTTTCAGGTGAGAGAAGCTGTTTATATCCAGTTTTATAAGATACATTAAGTACTAGTGGCATCATGTCATCTGGCATATGTTACAGATCCAGCCCAGTGGATAAGCTGGGTTTTTTCTCTACATTAAGATGTCAAATGGTACTTTCAATTTAACAGCACTACACTCTCATTTTCAAACTTAGATACTGCCCTGTGGATTTGTGTTGTATTATAAAATAGGTATCAGGGCAATTTTAAAAACAGTTCAGTAAGAATGGCATTGCTAGCTTATCGGTGGCAGTCCCACTTTGAATGCAGATGTAGAAAAGGGAGGAAGAGAGAGCAAACATCTTTGTCCTTTTGCTGACTAGTAGCTGATACTTCAGGCCTTACAACCTCAGGGTGCTCCTGATGAGAAAAGGGGGACCAAGAGTTTTGGTGGCACCTCTACAAAACATGCAAACCCCAGTCGTCCTCTTCTCCTGGTGGCAAGATAACCAGCAAGCACGTGGACATCTTCCTAGCTAAAACACTGGCATGCTTCTATCGCTTTGGGCTTCAAGCAGGGGAAAAGCTTTCACATCAAATCCGTGTTAGCTGGAACCGTCACTCCAGGTCTGCATGGAGCATGTGGGATTTCCTTAGGAAGTCATGCAAGAAACTGGCCCCTGCCATATCCCCTGAGTTGTGCCCCATGCCCCTTTTTTTGAAATGCAGATAGTTCCCTGGAGATGTAGGTGCTCAGCTGGATATAGACATTACCTTGCTAGTTAAGCAGGCAGAGGGAAATTGAGACTCTTCTGCAGACACAACTTCCCTCCACAGAGGCCCCCTCAAAAGGCGAAGCAATTTCCCCCCGTTGCAAATGACCCCTTGGAACAGAGCATCTCTGTGCAGTGACACAGAAGTCATGGGCTCCTTGTCAGTGCTGGTGAACTTTACTCCATTACCCCATCAAAAGGAGAACATGTGCCAGCCAGAGCATATCATGCTCTGGTGACAGTGTGGTGGTCAGCGCAGATGGGATCCTGGCTGAGGGTGAGGAGCTGGTGGGGTTATGCAGGATGCTCAGGCCTGCCAGAATCCCGGGAGTGCTTGGAGCTACCAGCTCACCCCCCAGCTTTGTGGGCAATGAGACAAAAACTTACCTGGAGTAGAGCTGCCCACCTGCAGGTGATGATTAAAGAAATATAGAAGGAGGCAGCATAGTGTGGAAATCCTGGGCATGGACTGGATTTCATGGGAAACGGGGTGCCAGGTCTTTCACATACCCCCACAGGACTCCCAGGATACTGCAGTATACATTGCTCTGTATTTTAGCGAGGATGTGCTCATGTACAAGGCATGGAAATGGGATCAGCTGCTCCCTCTATGGTTGTGGCACCTTCTCCTTACATAAACAACATGGCTTCACTAGGCCTCATATTCCTCACCAGGAAAATTAATATTTGTGTTTACAGACCATATACTGGTGCTTCTAGGTTTTTGTAATTTTATCTGCAGTCAGCTATGAAACACTATGAGGGCAATTGCTACACTAGGGTAGTCGTAGTTTTGTCTATTTGTCCATCGAGGCCACATTTTCCTGTACAGGAGTTCTCTGCTGTTGCTGTACTCACTGTGCGTCTGCATGGCTACCAGCATTTGCAGATAGCCTGGAGGTAAATGCTGCTATTCCACTTGTTCAAGAGTAACAGACTTTTGTAGAACTTTTTAATGAAAAAACCCTGATTTTTCCTGGTTTTATTGATTTCCTTGTGATACAGCTGGCTTTTTTTCATTAAATATACTTAAGTGCTTTGCAAGATAAAAATGAAAAATTTGCTAGCCCAGAAAGCAGTTCAGATCTTGTTATCCTTGCTTGAGGACTGGAACAAGCTGATGCTATTTAGGGAGACTTCTCCATTCAAGGACTTGGATGCTGCTTCAGGCATCCTGGAGTTTTCAGGAGAGGCATTAAGGATGGAAACTTCTACAGTATCACCTGTCACAAGCATGCCCGGCGCAAAGTAAATGC